TTTAGGGCTTAGAGCATTAGGGCCTAAATTTAGAACTGTAGGGCTATATTGTAGAACTTTAGGGTTTTAGGAACTTATTTAGAACTTTAGGACTTTAGGAGCTTTAGGATTGTAGCATTGTGGTGTTACTGGCTGTGCAGCGCAACCCATGGTTTCGGTCTAGCTGCGGGCCTTCAGCCGTCGGCGACTCAGAAGGACGGCCTCGCATTCTGTTGGTGGCAGGGAATGTTTAGGGTTTAGGGTTTAGGGTAAGAGAGTTTCCGAGGATCTCCGAAACAGAGTTTCCGAGGATATCCGATCCATATCAACAACAACCCCAAACGCAAGGATTGATGAGGGCCATGCGGGGTTCTTAATACCGGGGGCACCTGTCTGCGGGTTGCTGAAAATGTGCATCAAGACTTGAATCTTAAACCCAAAGCCCAGAAGCCCAGGCAAGTGATGCCCAGCGCGGGCGGGGCGGCCCAGGCCACCAGCAGCCAGGGCCCAAGAACCGAGGAGCGCCGCAGGAGCTTCGGAAGCGAGAGAAGTCGGATCGCATCGCTCTTGGACCTATTGAGTCTTGGGGTTCGGTGTCTTTGGGTTTTGGGCTTGTTTATTCCACGGGCCCCAGTTGTGTGGGATGAAGATAGGTGCTCACTCAGCACCTGCAAAACACCCCAGAACGCTTGACCGCGGATGCGAAATCCTACAATCCTACACTACCCTCCAAAAAAGGCCCCTAAAGCCCCATCTCTGAACCGAAAGCCCCAAACTCTACACCGTTCACGCCCTAAACACCCTCCTGCAAACTGTTTCCGAGGTGGCTTCCTCGGCCTCTTTGGCATCTCCCGAGAGGCCTGTTGGGTTGGTCCTATACGGGTGTCAAAAAATGCTTCACATAAAGGTTTCGATAAGGCTTCCCGCCGTTTTGTTGCGCCCTGCGTTCGGTTGCCGAGCTTGATAATTGACTGAACTTCCGGTTGGTTTGGGGTTTTCATTGTTTCCGGGGTCCTCCCAAAAGTCATACTTAACCGCAAGAATTCTACGAGGAGCAGAGGTGACATGGATAGAGTCTACAATCCCCTGCATCCGGAGCTAAAAGGCTGACCCAGAGCTCCGAAGTTCCCTTGCTCCCACATCCCAAACCCTCATCCCTAAATCTTAACCCTCGTACGATTCCCCCAAGAAACACCCAGGGGGGGTTGGGCCTTTTCGCGCCGTCAAGAACCCTGAATCCTCAGCCTAAGCCCTCAAAGCAATGTCACGATGCCCTCGTTGCTTGTGCAGTCCTGCGCCTTCGGCGGCCCCCCGGACGTCGACCTCCTCATCCTCTGTCACGAGGTGAGGGGTCTCTGTTAGTGCTATACAATGGGCCAAAATGGAAAGAAAAAACATAGAATAAAAGTAATAGTAATAGTAATAATGCTGATAATACTAGTATTAATACTAATATATATATATATATATATATATATATATATTTATATATTTATATGTATATACACATGAGGTTATTATGCGGCTTTAGACGCATGTATGACGGTTGTTACACGGCTTTAGATGCTCGGTATAGGATGGTATCTTTTCAGAGACCTCTTGGGCGTCGGTTTGTTTAAGCTCCTACCTAGGTGGCGTGGGTTGTTTTAGTACTTTGAATTTAGGGCTTCAGGCTCCTCCTCCTCCTCCTCCTCCTCCTCCTCCTCCTCCTCCTCCTCCTACTACTAGTACCACTACTACCACTACTACTACTACTACTACTACTACTACTACTACTACTACTACTACTACTACTACTACTACTACTACTACTACTACTACTACTACTACTACGACTACTGCTACGACACCCACTAAATCCTGAGTCCTTGACACTTCTGCCACATGGCGGTTGATGCCAGGCGCGCGGCTTGGACTTGAGCCCTGGGGAGCAGGTCTTCGTGTCCCTGCGCGATCAGAAGCGGGGGACCGAGGGTTCTTCGGGGTGGGATTTAGGGGTTCAGTGTTAGGGGGTTAAGGGGTTTTAGGGTTAGGGTTTTGGGTTTAGAGTTGTCATAAGGGAAGTTTCCGGTTTCTTCAAGGGCGCTTTGTAAGTGGGACCACTGCTTACATGAATGCTTTTCGGGGGTGGTCACTGTTGGGAGTAGCGCAGCGGAGGCCCACCAGATGCCTAAATCCTGTAACCCCAGGTCCGAAAAACCCACCACCCCTATACCTGAAATCATACTACCGACACTACCGGTCCATATAGAAGAAGGTAGACTCCTGAGACGTGGGGTGTTGGTGTTGGCCTTTCTGGGACCGAAACATTGTAGGCCCCTGCCGGACACTCCGTCAGACCGCTTAAACGGTATTCTCCATGGAGGGTTTAGGGGCTTTCCAGGCCGGGATACTCTGCACGACGCGGTAGAGTTCATGGCTTAAGGTTCAGGGCTGGGCTGTCCATTCAATTTGTTCAAGTGGGGTTCGGGGAGTTCCGGTTGTTAGGGTTGCGCTCAATTGCTCGAATTTTATGAGGTGTCCCAGTCTGTTGGTGATGATCTCGCTTCAAAGGGGGGAGCAGACCTTAACCCTTAACCTAAATTTAAATGAGTCAAAAGCTTCGGGACATTCGGGCCCAGGCGTTCGGATCCGGAGAAATTGACCGCACCGGGGACGCCATGGCAGCTGAGGCCAAAGAAGTCTGGAAGCCCACCGCTGGCCTTTCGGGTTTGGGGCTGAAGGCTTGGGTTAGGCGCTTTAGGGTTTGGGCTCAGGAGCTTGTAGAGATTGGGATGGCCTCCGGGCACCTGCGGGCTGGGCTTTGGGAGATTTTCTTGTTTCAAAAGTACCCGTGTAAATCCGAAGCAGCAAGACCGCAGGAAGAAGAAAGAGACTGAACATACCCAGGCCCGGTCCCTTAGCCCACAGCAGAAGGCTTTAGTTGCTTCAGTTCTGCGGGTCTGGGGGTTAGGGCTTTGGGATTGAGCCCCAGACTCCAAACCCTAGCCCTGAAACCCTTTGCTCCAGATGCCCTCAGCTTTTCAGCTTTCCCGACAATTTTTTGTGCAAAATCCCGTACCCTCATCCCCAAGAGCCACAAAAGAGCTGTACTTTATTAGACCCAAACCTACGCTGCCGCAGCCCATCACCCGCTACATCCCTAACCTTGGAGTCAGATCCCAATTGTGGCCCAAGCCCTACAACCCTGTAATCCCCAAACCCTTTAAAAACCCCGCTCCGAGCACACCATTACCTTAGGTACGGGTATTATGAAGGTCCTACTATATCTGTATAAATGAATATTATTCAACCATTATACCTTTCTTTTTCTCGGGATGTGCAGTAACCAAGGAGCCGGGGAGCTCTCAACAATGGGATCCTCGGATGCAGGGCCCGACCTCCTACAAACCAGGCCCGTTTTCACGAGACAAACCAGGCTCCAACAGGGATCCAACGCCGGAAAAAGGAAGAGCCATAATCCCCAAACCACCACCACCAGCAACACCGCCCCTGCCCTGCAAAAAGCCCCAACATCCCCATGACCCCATTTTAGGGGCCCACAGAATTACGTCATTCTGATTCTAGCAGCCTAGCATAATGGCGCCCCCAAACCCCGTTTTACTTATCATAAGGTCCTTACATCACCCTAAGACCCCAAAGCCTTCGGGGCGGCCTTGTGGCTTGGGAAGGTCGGCGAAGGCCGACTCGGTCTTGCACCTGCGCGTCTGGGCGCGGGACCCGGCCTTCGCCGACAAGCTCCGGGGGTTCCGGGCTTAGGAGCTTCAGAGTTCGGGGAGCCAAAGGGAGAAAGACATCAGGGCTTCTGTTTTAGATCATTTTTACACGCTTTGGGTGGTGGATGGAAAGTATGCAGGTTTGCTTAGTTTGCGGCTGCTCGGGGCGGGTTGATGTTTTGGTTTTCGGGATTCGGTTTCGGTTCCTCAAGTCGCTTGGGGACATTTCTCAGCGTCTCAAGGTTTTGGGTTTGAGTTGGGGTTGGTTGAGGTTTTGGGGTTCATGGTTTCGGGATTTGGGTTCAGAGGTTCGGGCCTGTCGTGTTGAGGTTTTCGGGGCATGGTTCGGGTACCCATGAATACGTACAGACAGACAGACGAAGAATAGTGAATCCCAGAATGTACTTTTGTTCCGGTTCCTTCTCATTCGCAGCCGTGTGCGTGTGTACACGTACCATGCAGTCCATGTGTTGTTCGATGAACTTGCCGAGCCACTTTGATCAAGCCTTGGCAACACCCTTACGCAGCCCTTTCTTGACTCTACTTAGGAGACCCTGTAGCGGTTGGGGTGCAACGGAGCTTAGTTGTTTTCGCACGCGCCTTCTAGAGCTCTCTTGGATCCTGAAGCAACGGAGCGAAGGCTGCGCCCGACGAGGAAGCGGCGCGAACGGACGCTGCACGGCGGCGGGTGTTGGGCGAGCTGAGGCCGGGAGTTAGGAGTTTAGTTCTGGGTTTAGGCTTACCCTGCGCCCTGAACCCTAGACCCTTTACAGTTACAGGTACTAAGTTTGAGGGCTGTAGGTTCGGGGTTGTGCTAGTAGGGTTCATCAGGAGCTCCTGGGGTCCCTGAGCTTGTATAGGATGCAAGGTTTTTTTGCGTGGCCCGTGGCCCCACTGCCTCTTCCAGGAAGCCCCTGAGGAAAATTGTCCAACTTTCCGCAGGCAAGTTCCACGAACTGGGATCCGAAATTCCGAGGGATTAAATGTCTTGTTCAGCTCCTAGAGCCCAGACAACTTCGGAACATACCGGCAGAAAAGGTTTAGGGTTTAGGGTTTATAAAGGTTGTGCAATCCGCAGACTTTGCAGCTCAGTGTGGAGTCAGTGGAGTCTTGAAGTGTGAAAGCTTTAAGGCATATCCATTCTTAAAAATATGCAGCACAGCCCTCGTTGCCTTGCGTCAGTAGACAGTTTATAAGGTACAACGGTATATCTCTCTACTGGCAGCGCTATAATGTTACGCTGCGCCGTGTTGTACCCTCCTTCCAATACTCACACATCAGCTTCCCAGCATGAGCATTCCTGACATGGTGTCTTTTCCTCGCGACCGCTTGGATGAATGGCAGAAATTCGTGGCAACCCCGATAGGGCAGGCTATGCACGAGCTTGCAGAACTTGGCACAAACTTTGAATTTGCAAACCCGAAGTTCTGGGGCTGGCTAGCCATCACCTGCGTAGAGGTTGCGATTGGTTTCTCGGAAGCGGTCACGAACGTCCAAAATGAGAAGCCGTGGTCGATGCAGATGCCGGAGAGCACAGAGGTTTGTCAAAAGGCTTTTGCAGATGCTAGAACTGTTGCAACGGCAAAGCTGCCTGTGATTGAAGAGCTGGTTCTCCCTGCTGCCTCCACCCAACTGGGAAACAGTTCCGAGGAGACTGCGTATCCATGCCAGCGATGTGATGCTGAGGCTGCACCCCTTTGCATTGGGCATCCATTTGCTGGCGGAAGCGCCGCCCTTCACCAGGCAGCTCGGCTCGCCCAGCCAGATGCAGTAAAGGCTCTGCTACATTTGCGTGCAGATGCTAGCGTTGTCAACCAATCTGGCGTTAGCCCTTGGATGGTGATTGGCGAAGTGGCCCAGAATGAGCAGGCGGTGGTTGCGTGCATGGAGCTACTCAAGCCAGAAGTCACCCCACAGGATTTGTTGAAGAGTGCTGAGGCGAACATTGATGACTTTCTTGGGAGCTTCCACAAGCCCGTGACAGTTGACTTGCTGCGACGGCAAATGCGTTTGCACGAAACCCTATTTGGTCCGTGTTCGGCTGAGGATCCCTTGTTGCAGCAGCAACTCATTGAAAGATGGGTGGCCATCATCAAGGGTTTGCTCACGCTGGACCCTTTGGATGGTGAGAGAAAGGTGTTGGCCAGGTATCTCCTCAACGCCATTATGGGGCCTCGCTACCATCACAATCAAGGTTGCTGCCGCGCGCGACTCGTAAATATGGCACAAGATCGGCTCAGGGACTTTGCAGTGGAGTGCAACCGATTGCACAAGACAATCCACGCTGGTGCCAAATTTCCAGCGAGCTTTAATAATGTGCTACTAGAGCTGCCCAGAGATTTGGTCTCCGTTCCTGCAGCATGGCAAGTCAACCCGTACTGGCTCACGGTGCAGAGGCGGCAAGTGTTGCGCTACGACCCACCATGGTCCGTCAATGCTATCGACGTTCAGAGCTGCTTGCTGCAGCTGGTTCGCTTAGGCGCCGTATCCTGCGTCGATGAATTTAGCAGCTTTGCCCATAAAGACTTGCGGGAGCTTCTTGCCTGGGGATATGTGCAGTACTCGAGTCTGTGCAACGAGCCGTTCCAGGAAATGGTTCGGAGCGTGGTTGCCAGGGCATGTGATGCTTATTGTTTAAGAGTAGACATGCCCAGCACCGCTGTACCTCCGAAGAAATTGCGGCGATTACTGGAGAAAACCTTGGAGGCAGAAGAGCAGCGGAGGGGCTTTGACTGGCCTTGCCGATCAGAAAGCTATCTTCGCCACGCATGCTGCTTTTACATCTTGGATACGGTGAGATTCAGTGTCGTGTGCAGGGGTGATTCGCTGGATGAACAGATCCGTTGTTGCATGCACGTCTTGAAGGAGTTCAAGTGTTGCGCCATGGGCAAACCTGCCTGCTTGCAGCTGCTCCGAGTGAAGTCAGGTTTTGCTCCAGACGCGTGTGGCGAAGGGGGCTATGCTGACATCAAGCTGTTTTGTTATGCAGACGTCGGTGTGCATGTTGCAGTTGATGGGCAGGAGATGCCGCTGCGAATAATCGGTGAAATCCAACTGCTGCTCGAGGACTTTGCGAAGATCAAGCATCGCATGCATCTGGCCTATGAAATAAGTCGTGGAAGCTTTGACTGGCCCGGTGCGACTGGATAGCGCCGCATAGTTCCGCGCTCTGAATGCTACTGCCGGTGAAAGATGCCAAGCGATGATCCTGATTTCAGACCTCATGTCTCCTTTCGCTTCGGGTGGCTATGTGTGGTCATGATTGTGTGCACCAGTAGTTGAAAATCCCTGCTGGAGAGGGCCTTGGGTTTTTAGGGCTCAAGCGCATCCTACTGAACCTCACACCGACAAAGGACTAGGCCAGGGACGCTTGTGGGTTCAGGGCGGGTTGTCGGGTTTTAAGCTTTTAGGGTCTTCGGGTTTACAGGCTTAGGGCTTAGGGTATGGGTTTCGGATGAGATTTTCGGAGTCGTGACCGTAAAGCTTTCGGTTTTTTTTGGGTTCAACCGTTTGCAAGCGCATCTAAGCCCTTGCACCGGTGATCACTCACTAGCCTGGGACGGCCTTTCGTGGGGGGTAAGCGATGCCCTTCTTGGGAAAAATGTCCTTCCTTTCTCTTTGCAGGCTTCCGCTCAGTGCGCTCCGCGCCAGCGGCTTGAGCATGCTTTACCAGCCGGGGTCCAAGAGATTGGGCTGAGAGCGTTTCGGGTATGACCCCTTAAAGCCTCACCCCGACAAAACACTCAAATCCCAAAGTTTTGCAAGCTGAACGTGAAACACAAGCCTGTACCTTAAACCTTAGAGAAAGAACCCTTACCAAAAGCTAAACCCTAAAGCCCGTAAGAGCGCGGTTCACATCCGTGCGAACACCTTGGAATTCTCATAGAACCGTCCAAACAAGACCTTGAATCGTCGCCTGAATCCTTCATCCCAAACCCTCCCCTCCCAGGACATGGCTGACCCTGGATGTCCCTGGCCTCGACGAAGGCCGGGGCTGGTTGAATAAAGGGAAACCGGACTTTGGTACGGGTTTTGCATCAGGCTCTTCTGTGGGTTTCTTGGGTTGCAGGGGTCTGAGTGTACTCAGTTCGCATGGCTTGAAGTGTTGATTTTCAATTGATTTTCGGACTTGGGTTGTAATTAAAAATTTATAGAGGGCAGAGTAGGGTGCCTAGCGGCACGTGGGCTTGGCCGGAGCAACAGACTGGCGGAGGCCAATAAACAAGGAGCAAGCAGAAGCAGAAGGAGGAGGTCGAGGTCGAGGCCAGTCAGGTCAGAGCAATATCGGAGAAGAGATCGCAACCTTCGAGCGCGTTCGCTAACTTTTCTGAGAAGCATCTTCGGTGTTTCGTGACTGCTGACGAGGCGGAACTGCACATCATGTACGCTGGAAATGTAGGCCACTGAAATGCAGGATATCGTGAGTAAGACTGAACCTTTGAGCCTTAACCTGAACGGTGAGACAGACATAAGTCTTCAGCTTCAAAAAGAAGCCTAGGTCCTGAAAAAGCAAAGCCCGAAACCAAGCCCAGAGCTTGAAGATCTCCAAAGTGAGGAATCCCTTTAAGGGTTCCTTTGAGGGCTCGTTTAAGGGTTCCTTTAAGGGTTCCTTAAGGGTGGTGGATCCATTCCGACCGCCAGGGGCGGAGGTGGGTCCTGGCGAAGTGGAGGCAAAGATGGCGGAGGGGTCCAGGCCTCAGGCTTGTTTCGAACATGAGCTCTAGTAACTCTAGTAGTTAGGGTGCATTGTAGTGTTTAGCGAGATTATGTAGGGCTTAGGGGTCTAGGGCCTAGGGATGTCTAGGGTTCAGGGTTCTAGTAGTTGCTTATGGTTTGCTTGAGGTGTTTGTTGTGAAACCCTTTCCCCGAACAGCCTAGACTAAGTGGGCGTGGGCAGGCGGCCACTTTCCAACACCGGTGCTTTTCCGTGTCCTCGAATCGTCTTTTCAGGCTATGGAGTTTAGGGGGATGTTCAGGGCCCAGATAAAGCTTGCAGATACCAACTCGAAAGGATTTTTGAAGCGCTCCGCGAGAGCGGCGGGCGCGTGTGTCCTTCTAGCACTGCCGCAGCCCGTCTTCGCCTGAATCCCTGAAGCCTGAAACCCTAAGCTCCCCGCGCGAAACTTCTTGGACCCTAAACGCCCTAAACCTTGGAAAACAAGGCCTGGACGGTTTAAACCAGGGGCGCCCCATAGAAACACAGACAGAACATTCAACTTAACAAGGCCAAACAAACCTACACAACGTCCATGGTTTAGGGTTTCGAGTACTAAATACAAGAAAAACAACAACCCTAAAACCCTAAACCCCAAGCCTACAAAAACATTCTGTTCCGAAGCCAGGTCTCGCCACCTCTACCAGCCGAAGCTGTGCCTGTCTCTCTGCCAGATGGCCACTTGGCGGTGCTTGGCTTTAGGGCGTGTTTAAAGAGTTCTGTTGTTTACATGACATAGGTACTTTGGGGTTGCGGTTTTATTCGGTTTAGGCTTTCGATATTTATGGTTCAGAGCTCTTTTGGACAGACTTTGGCGAGGGTCGTTCAGAGTGGTTTAAGGCTTCAGGCGTGGTGTTGCCTGTAGCCCAACACCTATAACTGGGAGGTTAGTGCAATCATCACCGAGCCTGCTCCACGGAAATGGCAGCTATGACGCCATCGCCAGTTTTACTGGCATTATTCAAGGCTGTTCTCCCCTGAAATACTCTGTTTTGGGATGCACTGGCAAGGTTTAGGGCTCAAGCTCAGAAGCCCCTGCCGCACCACCAACACACCAACGGAGCTTCATTGTCAACCCTTCCGGGCTCTGTGGCTCACGCAAAACATAAAGACATAAAGCACACAGCCCTGAAACAGGGGGGGTGTCGGGACTCAGTGTGTATAGGGTCCATGTCGTGTTTAAGGTTCAGAAGGTCTAGGCTGTCAGAAAGTGCGAGGCACCTTAGTAGGCTTCCGCTGAAAGGGCTTCCGGGCTCGAAGCCCGTCTACCACCGCTAAGACCTGACGTAAGTGGTACTGTTTCCTAAACACCAGGCCACAAAAGGCGGAAGCAAAGAACCGAAGCTCAAGGACAGCGCCAGCGCCACGGGGAAGATTGCCTTGTCTCTCGACGCACCCGACGACGTCCGCGTGGCGCAGTGGAGCTGCTCGGACGATGCTCAGGATCCCATACTATCAATAAGGATGGCACAAACCTACCTACCTACCTTCCTTCCCTTCTTGCAGTCTTCTTTCTTCCATCCATCTGCTCATCTAGCTAGCTAGCTAGTTTAGTTGTCTAGCCATGCATCTATCCATGCATGCATCCATCCATTGTACATTGGCTCAATCTGGCCTGCAGTAGCAGTCCCTGCAACATGTGTTTACCTGTCGCTGTGGCAGTGTTACCGTAACCGAGATTTAGAGAAGAAGGTAGGTTACCCAGAGGCTGCAGCTTGGGGTACAAGCTTGCACCGAAGCTCTGCCCATTTCCGCCCGAAGCCCCAAGCCTCAAGCAAGCTCCGAACCCTGGACCAGCCCCGGAACCCTTGAACCCGAAACAAAAAAATCTCTCCACAGACTACACTCCAAGTCCTAAGATGCAAGAAGGCCCTTAACCAATAACCCAGGTGCCCTGCTGAGCTCACAGATGCAGCATCAGACGATGAGCTCTGTGATGCATAGGCAGAGCCTCAAGGCCCGCTCATAGCCGTGGGGGGGGGCGGGGGGAGGAGAGGAGAGGCCCTAGAAGAGTTTAGGGCTTGGGGCTCGGAAGGGCTGTGGGGTTTAGACGGATTCCGGCTTTCAGGTTTCAGGCTGAGGGAGGTTCAGGCTTACTTGCAGCAGGCTCGGCTTGGAGGCAGCTCAGTCTGAGCATGTCACTTCCGACGTTTCCCAAAGCGGATGTAGCAAAGCTCAGGATCAGGATTGCCGGAGTCTTTGAGATGGTTTCCAGGTTGGCTTAATTGGGCGACGATGGCGTCGCACATGTCGAAAAGCATTGCGGAGGAGCGGGGAGAGGTAAAGGACAAGGCAACATCAACTCGAATGTAGCACCGAACTCTGAATGGTAGCGGCAGTGACAAATTCAATGTCACATGATATCATGATTGCTATGTCATGCGAAACAAAGAAGTGACGCGGGCCTTCTAGAGCTCGAAAGACCACCCCGGCCCCTCTCAGAAGCCTTCAAAGTCTAAATCAGAACCATAAGAAAGGCAAGCCCAGGACCCACAGCTTACAAACTACACCTCAAGCCGAAGCCCCGAGCTCGCCACGCCTTCTCAGCTAAACTCCGTAGCCTCCAGTGGCCCAAGCTTAGACGACCAACGTTTGCGCTGCTTTTGAGATTCTCCTTTGCGCCATGACGTCCGAGGGCGTTACCTCGGCAGTCAGTGCAAGGAGCTGCCTATGTCGGGTTTTCTAGGCTGGTGCTGCTGGAGCAAGAAGAGCAGAAGCGAGCACAACTGCCCATAGCACGTAATGCGAAGAGCGGCGACGACCACCACGTGCCACCGCCACAACCACATGATGACAACAGAAAGTCATCCTAGGCCCTAGGCTTAAGCCTTCGGCCACCCCGAAGTGGTGGTGTGCTGGATGCCGCGCGCTCCTACTCTCAGAATTCCTCAACTTCTAAAGCCATATACTCTGGACCCTCAGCCCCTCAACTCTTCCACCCGATTGTCTAAACTCCTAAATCCTGAATCCTGAAACCCGAAGTTCCCGAGAACGGGCTTGCAGACCTCGCTGTCTGAGGGCTCGTGCGCGCTCCTCCTGCGGTCCTCAACTCTCAACATTAAGTTCGTTTCCAAAGCCCTATAAAGCCCTGCTGTAGGAGTCTAATAACGAAGGCCCCTACATCAGAAGACTGCCAGGACGGTCACCACCGGCAGCAAGGTGCAGCTTTATGGCAAAGGCCGGTTGATCGCCGTGGCTTTTTGGTTTGCACAAACCCGGACCTTCAACCCCAAGCCCAAAAGCGAACCCCAGCACGCAGCTTTAAGCTTCGGCCTTAAGACGCCAAAATCCCAAACACTCAATTTCCCAGACAGAAGAGCTGAGGGATTTCACCCGGTTTCAGGGTCTAGGCCCGCGCCCTGAAGCATCGACCCCAAGCAGGAAAATCACGCCACACACACACACACAAACTGGTTTCTTGACCTGAACTCGAACTCTAGCGTGTCTATACCCTGACCCCACAAAGACCCCTCTAGAGGTTTGTGCACCCTGCATAGAACTAAAATTCAGAGACCCCGGACAAAACCATGCACCCAGACTCAATTCCAAGTCGAAGCTCCAGAGTCGCAACTCGTTTCCTAATCCCCAGAGCCCAGTCCCAAACCCCAAAACGGCCCTAAACCCTGAATAGAAAAGGCCCTCAACAAAAAGCAGTGGCGAGGCGCAGCCTCGATCCCTTCGTCAGCACCGAGCGGCTGGTTCGGACTAGGCCGGACATGGCAGAGATGGTTGGTTGAGAGGTTTTTAGGGGTTTAGGGTTTACTGGTTATACATGTGTTTAGAGGTGTTGGAATGTTTGTTCAGAGTTGAGGACTGGGCAGGGTCGGCTGGAGGGGTATCTAGAGAGCTTCTTTCGCTGTGGACGCGGATTTATGGGCTTGGGGTTTGGAGCGCCGTCATGCTTCATATTCGAGCTGCTTGCGGATGTTGGGATTCTGCTTGGAGAACTTAGCCCCAGAGGCCCGTGGTGGATCAGGCTTTGGCGCAGTATAGTCTTGTTTTGGGGGAGAGTTGGGGCTTCGGTGTTGGAATCTTCAGGGCTCAGAGGGGTTGGAATTCGGCAGCCCTCCATTTCGTCAGTAGAACCTCAGGCCAGAGACGGATTTCTTGAGATCTCCGACGCTGAGTCGACGGTCCATGGCTTCCGGCTAGTATCTTTGCAACAACCAGCTCAAGTTTTCTCAACCTCAGTCATCTGGCGGGCTCCAAGCCACCGCATCATCAATGATTGGGTTCGATTTCATAGAACATGTGAGCCTCAACTGCTTCCTTTATGCGCCTCTCACTTACTATCCCGAAATCCGATCAAGGCCCTCATCTAGGCTTGCCAATCTTTGCATCGTGACGCGGCTGAGAAGCGGCAGCCATGGCAAATCTCATAGAAGTGGACTCCCTGTCTCCCAGACTGTTGAAGGCCGACTGACTCTGTCCTGTCAGAATATATTGTACGTGCGCGCGTGGCTAGCTTGTAGTTGTTGGGGGTGAGACAAGAGAGGCTCAGAGTTTTTGTCAGGTGGACGCTTCGTTCCTCCAGACCTGCTGACGCGGGAGGGAATCACGGCCAGCTACGTCACCAAGGACGCCGAAGTGAAAGCCTTCGTTTTGATTGGGGTACCTATTATTGACCAAGGTTGCAGACGTTCCCAAGCAAAAGGCCGATAATCAAAGGATGCGTTCTGAGGTGTTGGTCTGAGCGCTTATCGAACTTGGTATGGACATTGATCGGCTGGAGGTTAATTCAGAAGAAGACCCACCTGAATGAGGCTCAAGCCGTTCCGGAGATGTCGTAACCCTACAGCACAGCCTCGAGAGACGCGGGTTGTCGGTTTTGGGAAAACAGAAAAGGCCCCGTACCCTGCCCTTAAAGAAGATACTTTAGCCAATCTGTCAAGTATCTTCCTGCAGCACTCCAAAAGCACAACACTGTCCCAGGAAGTTCTCCTAGGGGTGACCATCGGCTTTGCTCAGGCGCCACACGATACCAGGGCCGAGTCGTCCTTGGAAGTGGCTCTATAAACCTTAAAGCCTTAAACCCCTTATCTCGACCTTAAGCCTGAAGACCCATGCCCTTTAAAGAGACCATCCTGGACCTAACTCCTAACCTTAGCTTTAAACTCTACACCCAAGCGTTTTGGGAGGTGCCGGAGTCGGTGGCCTTTGCCTTCTTGGCCCACGTCCGGCCTCATGTGGCACTGCATGCGGCGTGGATCATCGGAGCCTCGGACTGTGTGTTCTTGAGGAGCTTTTTAGTTCTTGTTATGTACTGCAAGCCCAAGGCATCCCAAGGCCCAAGGGGCTCTTGATCATTCGTTCCTGTTGCGTGGGAGGTCTGCATCACAAAGCCCCATGAAGATCCAGTGTTTTCACAAGATCCTGAGGAGTGTTTCGGACGTTGAACGCTCTTGGGCAGGTTATGTTGAAACGGCATTGAAACTTGAAGCATCAGACCAAACCCCGAACCATGAACCAAGCAAAACAGCAGCCCTTTCAGTTGCCAAGGACTCTTCTGCAGTCTCCTGGGGGGTAGGCGCGCGGGCGATGTCGTAGGGTTCTGACAGGTACAGCCCTCGACTCCAAACTCGGAGTTCGATTCGTAAGTAAACCCTAAGTTAGGCACGCGAGGTATAGCCGTGTTAGAATCCCCTTTGCAGTCCTCAAAATTACGGTCCCCTTCTTGGCTCATTATCATAATACGGCACCTAGTATTTAAGGGTACCCAAAAACGGACCATAATTTTGACAACCGCCCATATGGTGATACCATACTATACCCCCTGACCCAAACCCTATACCGAACCCGGAACCCGGTCCTTACACCCTGGCACTGCACCTTCTCAGCCTTGTCCGCTGCATTAGTGAAAGTTCCCAATGCCATGAGCCCTAAACTAAACCCTCCGACCCCCAACTCTAACTCCTGAATTCACACACCCTGAATTCCTAAAAAACGGCAGGCCGGGAATGGTAAATGGGGCGACCGGTGCTTTTGCCGCGATCATCGCCACCTTTCTCCCGGCGCCGACCACTCCAGGTGGGCTGGGTTTAGGGTTGGAGCTTTCCGGCGTGGGATTTTGGTGGGGACGGGCTCGAGGCTCGTGACTTTCGACTTAGAGGGCTCAGATGGTCCGGCCTGTAAAGTTTCGGGGGCGATGATTCTGGTAGCACGGCTTCAGAGGTATTACTAACGCAACCCATGCCATACTCGCGAACTGTTTTAAGTTGCAGCCCTCGCTGCCAAGCTGAATCACATCGACTTGCGATGCTGACCAAAGCTTTCAGTTGCCTGCAAGCGATGGTTGACAGTTCTCTTTGTGCGGAGACTGGAGCGGGAGTCCAGACTCGCACTTTCGGGCTTGCGGTTCTGGTTACGGAACCCCAGAGTCACATAGCGAACTGCGGAGCCCTCGGCCCCGACTGCCCCAAGCATCCAAAGGCCAACCCGATGCAGATTCGGGTTCGCTATCAGTACTATCGACACCGACCGCCACGAAAACAGCAACACCACTAGCACCTACGATAGCCTTAATGGTTTGTGTGCTGTTGTTACTGCTGCTGTTCGTGTGGCTGGTATCATAATTGGCCGCTGTTCATCTCACGATCATTGCTATTCTAATCTTAGGTCCTGCTGGCTCTCGTCACACTCCGAAAACACAAACAGGATACATTTTGGGAAAACATATTGTGAGAAACATAGGAGAAAGGTGGGAAATTAAAGGAAAATCTGAAACCATAGAAGCACTCAAGGAAAAGCAGAAAACATAGGACAATGGAAACGTGGGAAAACATTGGTTAAACAGCAGGAAGTCACAGAAATTTGTGCTCCTATGGTTTTCCAACAGTTGTTCATTGTTTTCAATTGTTTCTAGTGGGTTTTGCATCGTTTCGGTTACTGGCACCCTAAACGTTCCTATTCCTGTGGTTCTCCCTCTGGTTCGTTTTTCAGGAACAAACCACAGAACACATGGAATACCATGGACTTTTTATGAACTTCGTATAGTTGCTGCTGTTGTTCTTCCTCAGTTGTCTACTTGCTCCTCAGTAATTCTATTTGTGATTCTCGAATTCCCTAGCTGTGTCCCGGTTCTTATGGTTTCTTCTCTATTTGCTGGTCCAGTGTATGTCCTAGTTGTTGGCTACTGTTCCGCCTGCTGGTGTTCATCATGTTTTCATAAATCTTCACCTAGATTAGGACACAAGGGTTTCTCCCGGCTTACATCATTGAAACTTGCAATGTTGAAACACGGGCTTAGGGTAGACAGAATTCCAACCTTAGTTACATTCTTCGTCGAATATGTTTTCATAATCGTAAAATTATAGTATAATTGTAGTATTATAATTTATAATAGTATTATGGTCGTATTATTATTGTATACTTATAGCAGTCCTGCAGGTGGTAACGGCGAACATGTCGAACTGCTCTTCCCCTCCGTCATGCTCGCAGGTGGCGGGTCTCGGATGTCAGAGCCGTAGGTATCTTTTGGGGGAAAACTGCTCCTTAAACGCTGAGTCCTAAACTCCTAAACCACACCCGAAACTTGTACTTTGGGCTGAGGGCTTCAGCGAGCAAGAGTTTCGATACTATGGGGGGGGATTTTAGGTTTATTGTTCCTCCCGTAACCCGAGAAGTTCACGTTTGCTTTGGGTGCAAAGGTTCTCACGCGCCCAAATTCAGGGGTTGGCTTCAGGTCTGGATGGCAGGTAGACTAGGCGTGGATGTCTACCTTAATCCTAGATCCTCCGCCCTACAGTAGTCCCCCGAACATGCCAAAGCCTAACACCCCAAAGCCGTGAAGCCGAAGAGCCCCAAAAGCTTTTGAGTTCTTAAAGCCGTAAGCGCCTTCCAAAACCAAAGTCTGAATGAAACTCGTGCAATCGTACAAAGGCCTTATAAGACTCGAAAACCCGCGGAAGCCTGTCAGGTCTCTTTATGCTGGCGGCCAGTGCCTGCAATCTCTCGAGATTCATTCTCCTGCTACCCGCGCCAGCCCCGTAGCATAAGCGAGGGCTAAGGGCTGAGGGGTTAAGGGCTCAGGAGCTTGGAGGTTTGGGGTTCTTGTTTTTTTGGGGTTGGGGCATTGACCCTCCCGCATGTCGTGGCTTCAGAGGCTTTGGACTGGTGCTTGTAGCCCAGGCATAATGATAGCCACAGTGATAGGAGTAAAATAGCAACAGCGGGGGTTCAGGGACTGCAAGGGATGAAGATTTCATGACCGCAACAAGAACCCTAAACTCTGACAAACCCTGCACCCTCGATGACAAGGTCATGGTTGGGTTTTGCAATGGTCTCGCCATTGTCATCGGCATGGCCCAGCTTCATCCTTTCCATGACGAGGTCCGGGCCCCTTTCGAGTAGGATGAGTAGGATTTTGGTAGACATTCTACTAGAATTACAAGACGCAACCCCCAGAGAATAGTATGTTGGCTTCTATATAGTAAGCGCTTGGAATGCCTGAGCCCTAAATGCCTACCCGCGAACACGAAGACCCAAAGCCTGAACCCGTAAAGACACTCCACGATAAGGGTTCAGGCTCGACGGTTCAATGTTTGGTCCAGCTTTCGGGAGTCTATTGGATGCGAAGCATCAGCGACTAGGGTTTTTGGGCTACCCCTAAACCCTGTGCGAGCAATTGGCTCTAAACCCCAAAGTAACGTTAGTATAAGCTTATCCTAAACCCTAAACCGTTAGCCCTAATAGTAACCCTTGTCAGGTAACCCTTCTAGCGGCGGTTTTCCATGGGAGGATCGGCTGAGGATTTGTGCTCCCTTGTTTGACGACCAGCTTCCACAGCGGATCCGACGTGCACAGGAGATCCTAAGCCTAATGTCAGGGTCCGAAGAAGTCGAAACGAATTTTGGGGTATGTTATCATATTTTGTATGTACACAGTATAATTCAATAAGGCCGCTGATGGTTGGAATCAAATCTTGGAGTAGACTATACCACCGGCATATATAGGGACTATAAGGGGGCATTATTTCCTCGAAGACTGTGACTTAAACAGAATATCCTGAACTGCGCCTGAGAACTTAAGCTCTGATCACTTAAAACCCTCACTCAAGTTTACATGAAAGTAACTCTTTAGCAACCCTAGCAGCAGCCTGTTGGTAATCGTTATAGTAACCCTGAGCTTATCACAGTAGCAGATAGTAGCCGCAACCCCCAAACTCAGACCCTCCTCCGCCCGTCCAGTCCTCGGAAAGCGGCTGGAAGGGTGGCTACGAGCTGCTGTGGATGCTGGACGCTTGGCGGCAACTAGCGAAGGACCTGGCAACAGTGTGGAGATTGAGGTTTGGGTTCCGGCATACACCTTAATCCCAAAAGCCGGCAAGCTGCAACACTGCCGTGGATGCAGAGGTCCTTGTTTTTCGAGTTCGAGCCTGAGGGCCTAAGGTTTTTTACGGTTCACCTGAGATGCACTTGCGAACACTACCTTTGCGTGGATGAACTGTGTATTCGAAGCCGCTGCGTTGACTGCAGCATGCCGCATCTTCCGATCTAATGTCTTACCCTGAGGACATCTAGGTCAGCGTTTGGAGCATGATATATTACATAGTTATTGGGCAGTTGGACACTTAGAAGTCCGTGGACATGCGCCGAGGCCTTGCCTCACGGACGGTTCGACTGACCCTCACAGATCTGAAGCCCAAGTCCCCTTCCACCCTCGCCCCAGATGTGTTGTTGCCCGCTGCGGTTCCAAAACGAGGACCGGCAACTTTTCGGCCTGAACCCCAAGCCCCGAGCCGTAAGACGGACAACCCTAAATCGTAAGACCCTGATGCCGAAGACACGTAGACCCTCAACCGCAGGACCCTAAGGCCTTGAAATCTTCAACCTTAAAGGCTTTTTCAGAACATCTTAAGCAAGAACATGCCTTAGCAGGCTCTCTCTAAACCCTCAATAGAACTCCATAAGACCCCGACAGAGAGCCCTTCCTCCACCAAAGAAAGCCTACGTAGCCCTGACCATGCTTCTTTCGGCTTCAGGTCATTACTGCCATGGCCATGGCCACCATGGAGTTCCTTCCCAAGGCCGCAGCTTTGGGCTTTGAAGTTTGGTTTAGGGCTTTGGGTCTAGGGTTGAGGGTCCAGAGTTTAAAGTTCAGGGTTGTGGGTTGAGGGTTCAGCTAGAGTTTAGGGTTACAGGTTGTGCTTTGCCAGTGTTGTTCACGTTTGGTCAAGTGTGATCCTAGGGGTGCTCGTGACAAGTTGTACTAATTTGGGGCTATTGGCTCGAAGTTCAAGGCATGGTGGGATGCAAGGATTTGGGATCTGCGTTTCCAATTGAGCGATGTCGTAGGCCTTACAGGGGGTAAGGAATTTAGGGTTTGATTAGGGCTTAGGGGCTCGTCGTTTAGAACTTATTCCCGGCTCTGTGTTGGTTAGGACGTTCACTTGTTGAATTTCTTCGTGAGTTGGAATGGTTTCGAAGTTAGCAAAGTATCTGGCGCTCAGGCATCTTTCCAGACCTCAAACTTCTAAAACCTAAGCCCGAGGGCCCAAACCCTCAGCTGCCGACTGCAACGCAGGAGCTGTAGTTTGATGCCATAGACTCTTCCTCAAACCCGAAATGTAAGAAGTTGAAAGCCAGAACGCACTACCCTACCCGGTTTCTTGTCATGCTGCGCTTTGGTTGAAGTCCCACGAAAGGGAAAGAGGGAACAGAAGTCCAAATACAAAAGACCATTCCTTAGGCTCCGCACTACAACTATTTCTTTCCCCAAAGACCAGGTTTATCTGGTTGTTGTTTAAGGCTTCCAGAGTGTTCTCTTGGAAGGTCCCTCTGCAGATCTTCAAGATTATCCCTTCCTCGCTCATGGCGATCCTCGTAGCCATTCTCATCGAGCGACTGGGACCAGGGCTGAGTGGCTGGGGTTTGTACTTGATAGTATGATCCCCCACCCTTTATAATTGTAAAACAGAGGAGGGGGGGGGGCGCATAATTGTAAACCAATATTTTTTTACAATAGCGGTTTTTTTACAATTATTGGGGTGTGAGGGGGGTGGTGGGTTACTTGACAGACAGACAGAGAACAGCAGTCATGTTGTGAGATTTGGTGTTTCTGTGATGGGTTTGCATGCTGTCACCTCCGATTGCAGGGGCAAGTGGCCCGTGACATGTTGTGAGGGTAACCGCCATCGCGTTTGAGCAGTCAACTTGCACAAATCAGTGTGGCGTGGATTGTGGGCCAGTTCGGATCCAGCTACATTCAGTCCATGCACAGGCAATCACAATCATAGGAATTTTCGGAGCCATGTGGCGATTGCAGAAGACTGGAGAAAGGAAAACGGGCAAGCAGGCGGGCCAGCCAATTTGAATTTTGGCCGCACCTGGTTTATTATTGGGATACTGTGAAGTGGCGGGGCGGGGCAGGGCGGGGGGTCCTGCAGCTTGCCGCTCAAGGAAGTGGACCGCACCGGACGGGAAGACCAAGTTCCGTTCCTGGAGCGAGGGCTGCTGCTGGGCGACGAAGCACAAGACTGAGGCTCATACTCTGGCGATGATTCTTTCTTTTCAAACTGAAGTGATTTCCTTCCATTTGCGCCAGTTACCTCCGCCCCAATCGGAAGCAGCTCAATACGATGCAGATGGCTGGCCCAAAAAAGGGCTGGGTCGCTCTGTCTTTTCTTCTTTAGCAGTGCTGTAGTTCGAGTATTGTCAGGACAAGTCGCAAAAGACGGATGCGAAGCAGGTCGTTCTCTTTGTTTCTTTGGCTGGGGATGGATCCACTGAAACATATGTCAGGAATCCTCCTCGCGTGCTGGCCGTGCGAAACGAAAGGCCCACCTTTCGTCTCTCCAGCCTACCCATATGCACACTTAGAAACCTTCTCCATTTGCTAGCACACGCCGTCATCGCCAGCATCACCCACGAGCAGGGTAACCCTTTCGTGCTTCGAGGCCGCACTGAGCGGCCCTCCGAATCCTGGTTCGGCCGAGTGAAATCCTCGTGGACAGGGCAGGCATCCATCAGGGACAACATTTACGGAACGTACTACCAGCATCTGCACTCCTGGAAAAATGCAAAGCCTCCAAGTGGAAAGATCCCCAGGTTCTGAAGCCTGTACCTTTGGAACAGGTGGCCGCGATGAGCAAGCGAGCATTGCAAGATGCTGTCTATTTCCAGTCCGTGATCAGCCGGCATCGAAGCGCCAGCCTCATCGAAACCGACTTTGAGCATTGGTGGGCTATTGAGGGCAAGTCTTTCGTCACCATCGACACGGACGTTGCCGACACCTCCGATGTATGGGATGACTGGGATGCTCCTGCTGACGAGAAGTGGACGGAGGAGCTCCTCGATCACACGACCGAGGCGGAGCAAGCCGAGGACGAGGAGGCCGAGGATTTGCTCCAGTGCTGCGACTCGCACATGCAGGTCAAGAAGCAGATCCACAACCTCATGGCAGAGCTCTCGGGAGCGGAGGGCCCAAAGTCGGACCAGGCATCGGGTGTGGAAGGCCAGGCATCTGCTGCGGAGCAGCCTGTGGATGACAGCGAACCGTCGAGCATGGAGGGCCAGACATCTGCTGCAGATGAGCTCGTAGATGTCGGCGAGCATGGCAACCATCCACTCGACATCGTGAAGCTCCTGCAGCAGCTTCGCCAGCTTCCATCGATGAGCCTCCCGCAAAGCACCGAGTCAGCCATCCGAAACTTGCAACAGCGCATGGAAGAGATCCGGCAGCCGCTCCAGGGCTACGTCCAGTGCGTACACTTCAGCATTGGAGAGCTCAGCAAGGCCCAGATTACCAGATCCTCGGAGCGTGCTCGTCACGAGTGGCATCAGCTGAATCACGAGCTGGCGTTGGCCACACAACGACGTGCAAGGCACCAGGACTTCCAGGCATGCAGCCTGGACCCAGGGGCAAGACCGAGTCGCAGCTTTGGAAGCATCCTCTGAAGCGGGAGGCTCTTCGGTGAAGCCTGTTCGTGTGTTTGGCAGTGGCGGCCGAGAAAACCGACAGGTTTTCGTGGTCGAGGTCCGCGGGGGCATCTTCCTGGCGCTCTTGCTCACGGTGTTCAGGGGGGCCCTCCTGAAAGCTGGCAGCCGCAGGCTGTGCAAGTCCAGTGCCGGTCACCATGGCTGGCAGGATTGCGGGTTGTCGAGCTGGTCCAGGCTACTCCCACCACGTTCTTCGCCAGTGCTTTCAACCGCATTGAAATGATCGATGCCACATGTGTGCTGGCGCAGTTCGTGCCAACGTTGCCCAGCTCAACGCCTTTGTGGAGAAGAAATCCTGGAAGCATGAAGCGGAGTAAACACCAGTGTCGTCAGAAGCCCTCCTGAAGGACGTGCAAGGCTTCAACTCTCGGAGTTTCACTCCAGCAGTGTGCAAAGCTGCTGCCGCAGTTCCTCCGTATGCTGGCTTCGCTTTATGCACAGACGACGACGCCGCTCCTCCAAGGATCCTACTTCCACTATGGCCAGCAGAAGATTCTGTGGGAAGAAGTTTGCGTTCGCTCCATTCTGTACTTCGACGTTGTGTGTTCAGGAAAAACAGGGGTTCAGTACAGCATGCACCCAGACCGAAGCGGAGCGATCAAGGCAGTCCAGAGTTTTGTACAGCGAGTGGATAAAACCGCACCGGCATGGCTGCCGCTCACCGCTGCAAAAAGCAGCGGCTAACCTCAGAGAGAGCCTCCTCGGGGCAAAAGACGGGTCATGTCGCATCGAGTTGTGCAGACTGTGTGCAAGCTGTCTACATGTCTCAGCATGAGGGAGCACGGACAGGAATTTACAATTAAATCCAGGGCGAGGGGTCACCCCCCGGAAATTGTAAATTACAATTTCGGCCTCCCCCTAGGTTAAGATGTGGGGGATATAGTATGTAGCACCGGAAAGGTTTCAGGTTCTTACATATGCCGGGTGCTGCGCAGTGCTCCTCTTTCCGACGACAACAACGACAACAACAGGAGCAGGAGAAGAGTTTAGAGGCTTCCGGGCTTTGTCCGGCTGAGGGGACCTTATGGTGCTTTAGGGAGCTCACGAGGCCGGGCGCATAAAGACTAGGGTGTTGCCTTTGAGGCTTTTAGGTTATTTAGGACGTCATGCGTACGCTTCGGCGTGGAGACCTTCCAGTCCTGGTATCGCGCAGATTGAGGTCTCACTCTGAGACCTGAATCCTGAGATAATTCGTACACCCGCAAGCAATGACTAAAATGACTAGACGAGCGCTCCCAATCAATACCAAGACCCGTGAAACCTGAGACATACGCCCGGGTCTCGATCCCAACTCAAAGAAGGCCTGTTCAGTCTTGGTTCGCTTTCAGACACTCAAATATAAGCCGGCGCCCAGTTCAAAACTCGCAGTGCCAAAGCAGCTAAGGAACTTGGCTTGCGTCAAGTACCGTACTCAAGAAGGAAACATAATAAACAGCTGCTGCCTGCTTGTAAGCATTACTTGAATGAGCGCCAAGAAGCTGAAACTGTCTTGAGGTTTGCCATTGTCCGGCCTCTGGGGTGGAGGACGGACACCATCGGTGATGTGAGCGATGCGTGGCGGCAGACCCAAGCAGGCTTCGGTATGAATCCCAATCCTAGCTCGACTACAGGTTGCATTTGAGGTTCTCCCGAAGCAACAGCAATAGACACCCGACATTCCCAGCGTGATCCTCCGCCAAATTCCGAGACCCTGGGGCCTAAGCTCCCCGGCATGGGTCCTCCAAGGAGTTCACCTCCGAGACTGCTTTTCCCATCCCCTTCTTCGTGAACCATCCCTCCACTGGCTGCTGGGCTGTTGGTTTGCTCATTGGGGGGGTTGTTTAGGGTTACGGTTTCTGTTTGGGGTTGTAAATGTCGGGGTCTATGGGGTTCGTTTAGTGCTTCATGGAGCATCAGAGGTTTAGGTGTAGAACCACACCGTGATTTGCCAGAACAGGCATTAAACTGTAACAGATTTTGCGGATTAGGGTTGGGGTTGGAAGGTCCAGGGCCCAGGCCCCGATTCAAAACACCTGCACCCCAAACCGAAGACTCTAGACCGTTGCCCCTAAACCCCTAAAGCCTGTAGCATACTCAGACCTACAACAAACATGATCTTTCAGTAGACCGTACTCAGGCTAGGTGCATTTTAGGGTGTCCCAACATCGCAACGCTATAGCAAACCGCATCTTCTCAAGTTTAGGGCTACGAAAAACTACGTTAAACCAAAACCCAAACCAAAACTACAGTACCTAGTAGGTTCCCACATTTTTTGGAACTCCTAGCTATTTACAACACCGACAAGGTGAATGCCGCGCGCCGAGTACTGAACACCACACCATTCTGATGTCACGAAAGCCCTCCGCCTTCAACCCTCCATCCTATCTTTGTACCTTGAACCTAAGCCATAGGTGCGCAGTTCTGAATCTTAAGGGGTTTCGGTGTAATGAAATCCCGTGTCAAGCAACCCATAGAGAAAACGTAGAGAGGGGTCTTAATATCCCTTTGTAGTCCCTGCGCAACTATCCTATACTCCACACGGAACTCTGTCTCAGTATTGAGGCCCGGCCCCGACAGAAACCCTAAACCTATACAAAAAATGCTCGAGGTTACAACCTGCACGGCATTATCGAGTCCTGGACCTCCGTGCAGAACATCTTGGTCCAAGGCGCCGCATGCGTGCATGTACGATGAGGTCCTCGGAGGTCCTACAAACAGACTCGGGTAGATGGCCCTGACTATTCTCTTTGAAAAAGGACAACCTGGTTCCGAGACGTTTTAAACAAAATTTCCTAAGCCCTCAACTCAGCTGACCCCTGAACCCAAAGGCCCTAAGGGGGGTTTCGGCCTTTGCAGCTGCTATCCGAAATTCCGAAAAAAAAGCCCGAAAGCTTAAGGCCTCGAGCCCTACAGCTCCCATAATCAGAGCCCAAAAACCTCTCCTCTTTTGCAGGCATCCTCCTCTGCGTTGTGGGCTCCATCGAGTCCCTGATGACCTCGGAGGCCTCGGCTCTCTCTTGGCTTCCTTTTGGGATTGGTTCCTTGAGGCATTGAGGGCAGTTCTGATTCCCAAGCCTTATTAGACTAAAGGATATAGTAAAGGGAAGCCGTCTAGACCCGAAATACTAGAGCCGAAATCCGAAATCCCGTGGCCCCGTGAAGAGGTGGTCGAGTCTTTCACGAAGACCCGCAGCGAGGGAGACCGGACCCTTTTCGCCATGGGTTTGGGCAACGTAGTCTCCGGCACCTCGGAAGCAGTTGGGTTTGAGTGGGGAGCCTAGGACCTAGGACTTAGGGCCGTTTATAAGGTGTTTTTCCATAGAGAACCTATGCAGTGAGCAGTGTCCGTGCCTGTTGCTGTGGGCCGTAGCGTAAGTCCCGCCTAGCTCGAAAAGACCATGGCTGCATATTTGGGAGGATTAGAACGAGAGAACGGAGCCTAAACCCCAAAGCCTAAATCGTACGAGAGTTTCCAAATCCGTGCTAAACCCTAAGCCTGAAGCGTAAAGCCCCAACTTAAGCTGCCAGACCGCCGACACACAAAAAAAACGCAACAGCACTGAATCGCAAGCGATGCAACCTGTAACCCTAAACCGAGCCTCAACAACCGGATGCCAATCCCAAAACCTTGAGCAGTGGACGAAGCAAACGTCGAGGCTTCCTTGGTGGAATGGGCGGCAATGCAATGACGCTGGGCTTTGATGCAGGGTTCAGGGTTCAACCCAAATCTGGGGTCATGTGCCATCTGCTGTGGTGCTCCACATACTGGTGTACTCTGTCCATATTCCGACTTAGTGATGTTGGGCTCTGTTTGCATACCGCGTCCATGAGAAAACGGGAGAGGCCATGTGCTTTGCTTTGTTATATGGGAGTTTCCGAAAATTAGCGGGTACCTTGTTTTGGGGGTCCTTATAAAAAGGATCCTACTATTTAGGGTACTATATTAGGGTCCCCCATATTCGGAAACTCCCATATGCCAGCTTGCGCGGGACTTATCAGCGGGCTCAGGGCGCTCTGGTTCCACAAGGCTTCAAGCCCAAACCCCAAGATTGACCCCGGCGAACGGAAAAGCGACGTCCAATGAGAAGCAAAGACTGGGATCGTAGCTCCACTCGCCCTTGCTTGCCTCAGCTGCACGGAGGATCGGGCTTTCGACCATCAACTCCCTTAATGGCGGGCGCGGACGCATGGCGCCGCCCGTTGGCTGGAATTTTGGGTGGGATAGATTCGGGACTTATAAGGGACAGAGATTCGGTCTTTGGACCTGGGTTTAGGACGGTTTCGGCTTCCTGGTTATGGGATGTAGGGTTTAGCATTCAGCCTTGCACTTACAGCTGAAGGCCTCCAGGGTTCAGGTTGTCGGATCTTGAGACGGTGCGGAACACTGGACTCCCGCACTTAGGGTTTAGGGTTTAGGGCTCAGGCTTCGGAGTTCGGTGATTCCGCTAGGGGTTTCGGGGTTTTTAGGGTTTGGGGGTTTGGTTGCAAACTCACTGGGAGTCGCGGCTACTCCTACCGAATCTAGGAATCTTGAGATTTCCCCCTATATCATGCAGCGAGCAGCGAGAGCCTGTCAGGAAATCTTATTGAACAACGACATTGCGACTTTACAACACTCGCTATAAACTATAAACCCGAAAACCCGAAACCCCAACACAAAACCGTAGCGCCCAAGCCCTGCAACGACTTCAGCCTTCCGTGTTTCCATGCAAGAAAGATGTTCCTACACTGGGAGTTTAGAAAACTAGAGTAAGTTGCTACTTTACTTTCGGGTATACTCAAAATACTGGACTCTACGTTACGGACCCTTTGCACAGGACCTGACACCTAAGCAGTACAAGCATAAACCCCCAGAGTCCTGGTCCCAGAACCATCTAAGCCCTAACCCCACACCTTTCACCCCCTAAGAACCTTCAGAGCCTCGAAGCCGCCCTCTTCAAGCCCTGGGCCCCTACTTTTCCTGACAAGTTCGGAAACGCAAGATGCCAGGACCGTCACGGCGTTGGTGGTCATGGCCTCCGTCATGGGCGCCTACCGCTTGCTGAAGCTTGGCGCAAGGATTTAGGTTTCATTTATGTCTCTTCATCCTATCTTTGTAAACTTTATAGTGTCTCCATAGGATCCAGGGTTGAGGTTCAGTTTAGGTCATTACTGTATCAGCAGTTGAGGTCATGTTCTTCTGAGTCGTCTCGTTGTTTTGGCTGCATAATCCTTTTCCACATCGAAGACAGCTTCAACACCTTTAGCTTTGTGATAATTCTAAAGGGTTCTGCAGCTGTAGAATGCAGGCATGACAATGCATGACGCTCCTCACCGGGTCTCTGAGATCAAGCCTGGAAGCCTAATCCTGTAGCCTTGCAAGCTCAGCAGGAGCACACGCGTTGTAAGGATGCGCGACTATTAGAAGTTGAAGCAAACGGTCTCTGCTTGGCTCTTGGACTTCGGGTCTAGTAGGGTTCATGGGGGACGGATGAAACCTGCGTTGCCTGCATAAGCATGTCGGGGCTAAGACTTCCCAGGCCCCGCCCAAAAGGCCTCGAGTGCAGGTGCAAGCTCCCCCCCTCATAAAACAGCGTTAAACCCAAGGCACTAAATCCTGAGACCTAGAAACCAAAACACGTCACCCCAGAATGCTAAAACCCTAAAGCCCCAAGCCCCTATAAAGCCCTCAGAACCCGGAGCCGAGCAAGAAAGAACAACAGGAACTTCATCCCGGTGGCGGCTCTGGCAGGTAGCGGGGCCTTCTTTGAGCCAGTCGCTGAACCTTCCGGTGGCGAGTGCGTTTCTGCCTGTAGTTGTTGCGTTTATCTGCAAGAGGTCCGCCTGGGAGTTTGTACTTTGATTGATAGGCTTTAGGAGTTGCTCGTATGGCGTTGTTGATTTGCGTTTAGGGCTTATGGTTCTGCGCTCGTTTATGTTTCGACACAGGTTCGGAGGTATTTGTTCAACAAAGATTTCCGAAGAGTCTTGGTATGTGCTGCTGAGCTGGCTTGTCCGTCTCTTGGCACTATGATTCGCGTAATCCCGCGATCCAATCCCTCAGGTGATGTGGTCGTGGGTTTGGGATTCTGGGTTCCCTTAACTTTGAAAAAGATCCGGACAAGCTCAAGACCTTGCATGAACGATGGAAGCAATTGATTGAATAGCTTCGGGTTGGCGAAAATGCTGCAACATGGACTGCCCGCTGCAACATCTGATCAAGTCTTCGGCTTGACTTCAGGAGATCCTATTGCTTATAGTTCTCGGACATGGAAAGGATTCAACACAAGGTTAACCTCATGTATAAGCTTGGCAGGTACTGTAGTGCCCTCTGCAAGGGCTTACTGAGTCCGTCCGAGTGGTCGCCAACCATGCTTGATGTTGCTGTCACCTTGGAGCTTTTTCGGTGGTTTTCAGCAGCTGTGGTGGTGTCTCACTTTTACAAGGATGCGCAGGCGCAGGCACAGCGGTGCCCCAAGAGTAGCGCTGACTTTCTCAACATAGCTCCGCCGGCCCCGAGACCCTGGCTACCGCGGTTCCCAGGCCGTGAGTGCCTACAATCTGTTGCGCGCATCATGGTGCGCGCCGCGGTGAAAGTGCAGAGAGCATGGCGTGCTTACCGCTCAAAGGCTTTGGATGCAGCGCGTGGTGCAGTTTACGACAGCATCCTCCTGGGCAAGTTCGGGGTTATCTGGCAGCATTGTGTTGGCGAGGGTGATGCGTCTTTCTGCTGCAAAGGCCACAACCTCAACACTGACGAGGATGTTGCCATCAAAATCTATAAGCTCAACCCGGAGAATCTGGATTTGCAGCTTGTCAAGCTGAATAGGACAGTGGCCATGCTCCAGGCTCATAATCCTGCTGTGGGGCCTCTGTTGCTGGATTTCTCCAAGGATGAAGCGGGGTCTCCAGGCCCCGACGGTGGCTTGATGTTTGTGGTCACGGAGCTTGCGTTATACAGCCTCCGAGATCGCATAAATTACTGTGGTCAACATGGCTTGCTGTTGACGCCCCACGAAATTAAGTTTACGGCGCATTCTGCAGTATCTGCAGTGGCACGGCTGCACTCCAGGCACCTGGTCCACGTGGATTTGAAGCCGGAAAATGTCATGATTTTCAAGACTGGCATGAAGTTGATCGATGTTGATGGGGTTCAGGACATGGGTACAGTGATGGAGATTGAGAACGATTTTTCCTTCACTTTGCAATACGTGCCGCCAGAGATGGCGCAGTTCTTGGCCACCGAAAAAATGCTCCTGTTGCTGATGCAGCATTGGATTTGTGGTCCTTGGGGATGACTTTGTTGGAGATCGCGATGCTTGAGCACCCGCTGTTGCGGTTCCTGGGGGATGGCCGCGCAGCAGAAGTTGCGTTTGTCCGTTGGCTTGCAACACTGCAGGAGGTGCCGCTCGAAGGTGTGGAACATTCATATCCTGGCATGGACAAGATGCTTGCCCCAGTGCTTTGTTGCGACCACCGCATGCGAGGCTCTGCTGTGGACAGCCTTGCTCACCCATGGTTCGGCTGAGCAAAAGGGAGGTTCGGTCAACACATGCGTCTAGAAGTTGTGTAGCAAACTTGGATGTGCAGGCCGACGACCCTTCTACACCCTGCCCTACCCCCGATCTCAGCACTAAGTATGGAGCTCCCAGCACTAGACTCCTACAGAATTCAGTCAGCCCCAAGCCCGAGATGCAAAAGTCTGAAGAAAAAGTCTAAAGTTGAAGGGTTTGGCTTTACACACGTCGAGGATATCGTGCTGAGGCTCGGAGAGTTTTGCGCGTTAAACTTCTGGATTTGCGATCCCTTAGTTGTTGCACCCCTACACCCGAAGCATGAAACCAGAAGACCAAAACACTAAGCCCCAGGCATCATGATCGTCGTCGTGCTGCACACCTTCAAGTCACCCAGCTGCCATGTTGGAGTCCCTAATCCTGCACCTCGCATTCGGAGATCCGAAATCCCGAAGTCCAGCCGAACCACACAGCCCAAAGCGAAGAAACAAGGCCAATACCGGGAATTCAAATAGTTGTGTGATCTGGATAATGTGGCGCGCAATCGTAAAGCCACATTTGCAAGCCCGTGAACTTCAGGCTTTAGCGCTTTTTTGCTTTTTACCAGCTGAGGTGGTTCTCGCTTGGTATGGTCCTGGCTGCCGTGCTCCCCAAGATGCTTCGTGACCGGCTGAACCTCCACCGAAAGGTGCCCGTGTCCGGAATGCTAAGAGCATGCTAAGGGCTACAATGTAGGGGCCAACTATACTTTAAATATGAAAAGGACTAATTGCTAAGTCCCCTACACTACCCGAAGCCGGAGTTCCACTCGAGCCCAGAAAGACAGCGCCGAGGTGCCGAGGATCGAAGCTTTGGTCGTGCTGGCCGCTGGGAGTTGCGAGCATTTCGATTGGGGTAGTCGGGGATAACATAGGTTTTCTTAGCTGCAGAGGTTCTAGAGGGTTCTATACGCATCTTGTAAGGTCTCCGGTTTTCTTAAGGCTTCGAGTTTAAGATTTAAGGCCTTTCAGCGTGGCGTTAGGGTAGCGGAGCTTCCAACGGTTCGGACCGTGCTGTTAGGGGGTTCGAATTCGGCCCCGGGAGGGCTGACCCTGTTACTGTGTTTAATGCTGCTACTAAATTCGATGAATGATAGCAGTGAGCCTTTTTGCAGAATTAATTGCATTTCGCTCAGTGTGGTTATCACGAGCTTCCAATGCAGCTAGCAGCAAAACCTTGTACTTCGGGGTCGTGCGGTCACCCATCGCATCCAGTAAATCGCTGAGTTGGGTTGAGGGAGTTGAAGGTGTCGGGTGTTAGGGTGTAGGGGCGACCTTAAGATTTAGAGAATTTGCAGTGTCAGGTCGTCACAGTCCTTTCAAAGCAGACGAACATCGCCGTGGCCGTTTTGGCCGCTACGTTGCAGAGGCTTATAGGCCTGCGAAGGCACAAGCAGTCGGATTTGGGTTCATGTTGCTTTTTCCTTCACTTGGAAACTTCAGCTCTTTGCCACGTTGTCTCTTTGAAGTCGGTCGGGGCTTGGATTACAGTGTCGGGTTCTTCAACGAATTCAACCCTACGACGTTGCCCAAGCCCAGATGCACCACCTTGCGCAGGATAGAAGGGTAGTGTTGTGGAGCTAAGGTATGCGATTCTTGGTTGGAGGTTCACAGCACACTCGGATGAATGGTTTAGAGTACTTGGACTAGCAAACAGCAATATTGACACCTTGCAAAACCATACGCCAAACGCAAAAGCAGGTGGCCAGCCAGTACAGCCATCAACAGTGCGGCCTTTGTCACCATAGGGTTTCAGGAACATGGTAAAAGAGCGGCGCACTTTCTGCAAAATCTTACGGACCCCAAATACTCTAAACCGTAAATCCTTTGAAAAGCCTATGCCGCAGCCGTAAACCCCAACAGAAAGCCTCAGCCGACAGTCGCATCCAGGTCGGCGTGTCCATTTGCGCCATCAGCTTCGCTTGGGATGCGGGCCATGACTTCCACCTCACCGAATCCTTGCCCGGGCCCTTGGAAGGGCATGGGCTTCCAGCGGTTTGGGCTTAGATCTAGTAGGCCCTCAATCCTTTATTATATTAATCATACAAGTTAAACCCTTGCAAGCCCTTTGTCAATCCGTGTGAGCCCCAATGAAGCCCTTTTTAACCCTTTGAACCATTTCTAAGCATGCTCAGCCCTCGAAAAGAGACAGAGACAGAGAGAGAGAGAGAGAGTTGGACCAGAGCAAGAAGCTGTAGACCGTAGGCCCCAAACTCCGAGGATGGGGACCATGAAGGTTTACGAGTCTCGGCTCCTTTCGGTGGGTTTACAGGACTTGAAGATTTTTGTGGGTGGGTACGAGTACGGGGTTTTGAAGGTTCTTGGAAGGAAACCATATCGTCAGTTTCAGGCTTCGTTAGGTTTTGGTGATGGGTTGGTGAGCTACGGCCGGGACTTGCAACAGTTTAGACAGTTCAGGTCGAGGCATTGGTTGAGTGGCTTGGTGTTTAGGTGGCAACTTTGGGTTCGGGAGTTTCAAACTGAGAGTTTGTTGAGTTCAATGGGTGTTCGAAGGCTTATGATGTTTGCGGGTTGAACGTGTTCGACATCGTCATCCACCTCAAGCAGCTTTCAGCACCGGTTAATGGAGGCACGGTGGTTAACGCCTCAAGCATAAAAGCCCGAAGCCCAACCACTAAACGCGAAACCGTCCAAAGCAGAAAGGGACTCTGGTTCGCCTTTTACTGCCGCTTCACTTTCTGAGGCAAGGCCGATCCGGCGCCATAAGAGCCCGAACCCAGGCTTTGCATTGTGCAGCCAGCCCAAGGCCTTCACGAATCCGAGAATATGAGGGCTTGGGGTTTCAAAGTTCGCAACCCCCAGGCCTCAAGCCCATGCAACAACTGTACCCAGAAGCCTTGTCATATACCTTGGAGCCCCGCCCCTTTAGCGGCCGACGTTTTCAGATCCTACCGTGCGGACAAAGCTTTGATTGTATACTGCATACACCCTGAGCTTCTCTTTGCCAGGAGTCTGCAACCTTCTGGGACTCAGAGCTTAGGGGATTGGATTTAGTGTTTTGGCGATTTCGGCTCAGGATTCATAGCTTAGGTTCTTGAATGTTGATTCTTGAGGTTTACCCCTAAACCCTAAACCCTAAACCCTAAACCCTCTAAACCCTAAACCCTAAAGCCATTAGATCCCTAAACACCTGCTCAGGAGGTGGATGGTCCTCTGTTTTTCACGTCTGCCAACCGCCTGGTGCGGAGCTCAACTGCTAGCGATTGGGGGAATCATTGCAGCAGCAATTTACAGTAGAATTCCAGAAAGTTGGAACATGATTATTATCGTAACCGCTTTAAGGTAAATTATAGGGGATCCTACCATGAATCCATATTCCAACTTTCTGGAGTTCCCTTTAAGGGTTTAGAGTTTGTGGTGTGGAGCGATTGAACTGTGAATTGGCGGCATAGGGTCGAAGGCGATGATGATGATGATGATGATGATGATGATGATGCTCATCATCATGATGTGGATGATGATGACGATGATGATGATGATAACGGTGATCCTCAAATCGTAATTGCCGCAAACCCTGACACCTCAAACCAAAAGACTCTAAGATCCAAACATGCTTTCCGTCCTCCACTGCGCACATTTGGGTCTGAGTGGCTCCTTTTGCAAAGCTCGCAGGTGAAGCTCCTGGATCCTAGCCGCGACCCCGAGGAGAGCCAAGGGCTCTCAGGGCTTCGAAGCTCTGGGGTTCAACTTTTCCATCTTCCCAGCGGCGGGGGCCCGAAGTCCGCAACCCAAAACGCCCCGCTGATCGGGACCAGCCTTGAAACCGAAGCGTCCCATGCCCTCTTGCTGCAAAACCCTCTCAACCCCTAACACCCTTAAATCCTGAAGCACCATGTCAACCCAAACACCCCAACAGCCTAGAACCCCAAATCCGAAGCCCAACAACCACCCCCAGACTCTAAATGCACTACGCCTAAACACCGGAAGCCCCCAAACCTCAAATCCAAAGCCCCAACACCTTGAAGCCCGACAGCTCGTAAATGTCGTGCTTAATTTCGTTGAGGCGTTGTCTCGGACTGATACTGTACAAAAGGCATAGAGGCCCGCATCGCTAGCCTCGTTGACCCCCCTTGGACCGACCGACCACACAAGTCCGGATGAAGCCCGACAGCCCTGAACCCTAAGATGCTAAATCCTGAGCCCCAACGTAGGGGTCAGAAAAGTTAGTAACACTACGCAGCCTTGGGGTCCTCTTGTAGTCGTGTTATTTGTGGATACCCAGCCTCAACGCCCTGTTCAAATTATTGAGGTGTCAAAACAGCCTCGTCCTCAAAAAGGCCTCATAAAAAAGCCTCTTCCTTAGAAAGATCCACTAGAACCCTGAACCCTAAGCCCTATTCGAGGAGGTGGAGTTGCACTTTGGAGAGACCACTCTCATGGATTTCACTTCGGTGGAAATTCTGCACAAAGTGGCCCTGAACTACAAGAGTGCAGGTGCCCAGAGAGAAGATAAAGCATAATAAGACTGAGCCCTGAACCTAAGTAAGCCCTACACTATCGCTGCGAAGTGTGGCGTACATGATAGTAGATACTAGCTGGACCCCGTTAGGATTTTAGGGTTCAGGGTCTCGTCGGGCTCTATGGGGCTTTACCAGGGCCTTGTGAGTTGTGAGCCTTTACAAGGTTCCAGGTGGGGCAGAAGGCTAATTCTGGGTATCGCCACATCTTTCCTTGCGAACGAGACGCTCTAAACCCTCTGCATCTCGACTCGAAGCGCCAGATCGTGAGAAATGGAGTTAGAGCTTAAGTTTAGTTCCCTCACCCGAAAAAGAGTCCGCAACCAATTTGCCTGAGAAGTTCCATTCCTACACGCTTACATAGTGGTCCTTCAGCGTTGAGCACTACGGTCCTACAGCTGAGGCTCCAATCTCCTTGTGCTAACCCTAAACCGTGAACCATGAGGTGACCGTGAAACAGACATAAATTCGAACCGCCCTCAGCCTGGAAAGCCCTCAGCCAGACAGATTTTGGACCAGGTAGCTTCTTTCAACGCTGTATATTATTATCGGTTCAGTGCCCTACCCTAACCTCAACCTACCCCAAGCCCTAAACCCTAAACCCTAAATCAGTCGCTGGGAGGGAAAAATATCACATTCCACACGCTCAACCTCAGCAGCCAGAAGATCATCGAGAAGGTCTGGCTGTCGGGGCATTGGGTTGAGGGTTGGGGATTTGTAGACAACTCCTGTGCCTTCAGAGCTGAGGGCTTGGGGTTTATGGTTTTGACGTGGTTTCACGTCACCTTGCCAGGCTGCCTGGTATCCCTCAAGCAACAGGTTCGCGCAAAGTTGGCGCATAGGCCAAGCACTTTAGCATTCAACTCCATGCAACCATGCTGCATGATCCGACCTTCTCTATGCGCTGTTTCTGAAAAAGGGGTAGATCCCTGAAACCTGGGAGACCCGATGCCTGACCCTTTCAGCCCTCCGGAGACCCCAATCCCATCCCCTGAATCGGCGACGTTGACTCCGAACCCCGAGTTCGAGCTTGAACCCCTAAAACCCTAAACCCCTAAACTCTCAACCCCTGAACCACCAAACCATAAACCCTTGAGGTTTGAAGGCATAGATCGACTTGAATTAGCGTTTAAATTTACGTAGGGTTGTCAGATGTTGTAAGCATGCAGCAGGTGCTGGGTGCTTGCATAAGGAACTTGAGAGCAAAGAGGAGAAGGAAAGTGTCGCATGTGCCATGCGTCCCCTATCATTTCAACTTAAACGAGCATTGTCAGGAAGGGACGCCAATTACCAAGACCCATCATCGGGAGGCCAACCATCTGGTGAAGGCCATCGAGTACACGGCCTCGGATGCTGCTGTCCGACTTCCCAGTCTGCCCGGGCCACAGGAGGTGAACCCGTCTCGAGGGCCTCGGGCCCGCTGTCGCTTTATAGAAATTGTGCAGAGCCCCTGTGTGTCACACGCGCAGAGTGCTAAACCAGAAACCAATCCCCCGAAAGTCCAAGACTCCAGAAGCCCGGACAAACCCCCAAAAAGAACTTCAAAGGCTCAAACCTGCCAAAACCCGCAAACAAAAAGACATAAGTCCAGGCCCAGCTTCACCGACGGCTTCCGGGCAGATCCCATGACTGCCGAGGGGGTCTTCGAGAGAATCGTCAGTGGTGGCAGCCCGGCGAGCTTTGGGAGGTGTTTCGAGGATTCAAGGCATGTACTTGTTCAGGAGTTCGGGACTGAAACTTCTGCTTATCCTCATCTGCATCCTCAACCTCGTACTGATCCGGCCCAGAAAGCTTTTGTAAACCCTATTGGGGGATTCTCCCAGGATTCTTTAACTCCATGTCGGGCAGTCTCTCACTTGTGGAGACCATGGAGCCCGCTCTTGCAGCACAAGCAGAACAAGAAATACCGCATGCCCGAGCGCTGATCATCAGCATTTGCGATTGCGTGATGAAGACATCCATGATCTTGCAGAATAACGCAGGCAAAGGCTAAAGCCGATTTCCTCCCATGCAGTCTCGAAGTTTGAAAGAACATCGGTTACGACGACGGTAATTCCTGGAATACCTCCAAAGAGCGTCTGGAATGAGAACAGCAGCCCGAAACCCTTGGACAGACGCATGAATCGAAGGACCCCGAGCCGGTGGCCGACACGCCTATGACCCAACCCCCCAAAGCTGAACCGCCTGAGAGCCTAAAGCCGGAAGCCCACTTCACAAAAGCCCCCCTCCCCGCCAGCTCCCAAGAACCCTAAAGTGTCGGCTTCATGTTGTGGCTCAGGTTTGCCCAAAGCTCCAGCGCCGGCGCCATCGGAGAAGTCGCTTGGCTACGTTCGGCTCCTTGTGTTCCGTCGGCAGGCCGAAGAGGGAGTAAAGACCGCGTCTTTCTCAGTCATGTCAGCTACTGCTACTGCTATATTGCTTTTAATTTAAGCTTCTACTGCGTACTATTGCTACGACCACCACCCACCACTGCGCAGAGCACTAGGAAACGACGCGCTGCAAGCAGGATAGGGGCAGAGAGCACCAAGAAAAGACACGCTGCAAACGGGACAGGGGCAGAGAGCACCAAGAAACGACACGCTGCAAACAGCGTAGGGGCCAAGAGCACCAAAAAATGACACGCTGCAAACAGCATAGGGGCAGAGAGCGCCAAGAAACGACACGTTGCAAACGGGACAGGGGCAGACAGCACCAAGAAACGACACGCTGCAAACGGGACAGGGGCAGAGAGCACCAAGAAACGACACGCTGCAAACAGGATAGGGGCAGAGAGCACCAAGAAACGACACGCTGCACACGGGACAGGGGCACAGAGCACCAAAATATGACACGCTGCAAACAGCATAGGGCAGAGAGCGCCAAGAAACGACCCGCTGCAAACGGGATAGGGGCACTTCTGTTTTCTTCTCAGCCGCTGCGGGGTATGAACGCAAGTTTCTGGTGCTTCAGAGTCTGACGCCCCATCAAGGGCCCTAAGCTCCCAGACAAAATTCTACACTGTTCGTGCACATATCTCAAGAGACGTTATACCCTTCTTGCCCGATCCGTAAGACAAACCTTCCCTATGCCCGATTGTCGAGTCTTTTCAATTTAGTTTCGGGCTTCCTAAACCCGAAATGATTCGATCGTATAGTGCCCAACAACGAAGCCCCAAAACCCGCCAAACTCAATAAACAACCAGAGCAAAGCAAGGCCGGTAAAGAACAAAAGACGGGCAGTGGCTTATCTAAACCCTAAGGAAAAGAGCCGATAACAAAGGATAACTACAACCAACAACAGTAGCAATACTAATATTAATTTAAATAATAGTAGTAATTATGATAACGATAATAAGAATAACAACAAAAATAAAAATAGTAATAATAATAATAATAATAAGCACCTAACCCGTATCGATCCAGGACTCCGAAGGACGAGTTGGAGGTCTGACGCGGGGCGAAATCCATCTGAAGGCTCGGACGCCTTCGTAGTTTTGATCTGTTTGGGTGTTTGCTTGTTTCAGGGTTCTGGCGTGTGGTGTAGATTGGGGCTTTTGGTTTAAAGTTCGGGGATTAATGTTGAAGATCTCGCGCTTCGGGTTTTCGAGGGTCTGGGTTAAAAGGTTCGGGCTTAGGATGTAGGGCTTCGAAGGACCTTTGAGTTAAGGGTTGAGGGCGTGGTGTTCCGGGTTGAAGTTTAAGGTGCTAGCACGCACTGCCCGGAGTCGAGATCTTGTGGGTTCAAGGTTTGCGGTTTAAACGGGTCCTGGGATTCCACGTTTAGGGCTCACTGGTTGTTTATGGTATTAGGGTGTGGTGAAGAGGGTTTCAGGGTTTGGTGTTGAAGGGCTTACTGATGTTTAGGGTTAGCTTCGAGTCTCAGGATGTAGGGTTGACGACAAGGCTTGTAACGCTCACACCCCTCAGTCTTAGCCGTATGTACTGCTCCAAAGCCTTCCAATCTAAATGCACCCCGAACTTGAACCCACCCACTGACCCAAGCTGGGTTCTCGTTAAGGGGGCTTAATTTAAACTAAACACCACAATCGAGATCTATGGTAAATAGTAAATAGTATGGTTTTTATATTATGGCAACTTAATTAAGCTAAATCCCTTAACAAGAACCCAGGAAGCCACCCAGCCAAACCCCAACGAAACGCGGTTGGGGCTCAGGGAGTCCGGAAGCTAAGGAGACCTCGGGGTCCCAGTCCAAGAAGGGCCTGCTGTCAGAGTCGGTGAACAAAGCCTCAAATATGTATTACCCATGGGCCCCAAAGTAGTTCCTTTTTGGGATTACCTAATAGGATTCTATATACGAACCCCAAAAAGGAACTACTTTGGGGCCTTAGGGTAAAGCCCTTTAAGCCGCCCAAGCCCCTAAGCCCTGAACTTGAACTCCAAGCCCTACCTCAGCCCTGAGCCGCACGGCCAAAGCCCGAAGGCAATGCTTCCAAACGAGACTTCGCAGCCTCTTGGCTTCCTCAGCTCCTGGCTCTCAGGTTTCGGCTTCGAGGAGTTCTTCGGGGATTCGGCTGCCGGGTTATGCCTTTGAGGTAAGGAGACGCTCTTAGAGTTTTTGAGGATTTACTGATGTTTTATGGTCTCTCCGTAGTGCATTTTCGTGTAACTGGCTTACCGTCTTGCATTGAGTTCCGGGGATCACGCTTGGTTCTTCGTTCGGATGTCGGATATCTAAGTCAAAGGCGGGTGTCGGGAAGGATTCCTGGTCTTTGCCGTTCTGATCTTTCCGTACATTTGCGGCTTATGGGCGGCAAGAGACCCTGCTTCACTGGTAATTTCAAACAGGAGTTTTAGAAGAGAAGTGAATGCTGATACCGACCGCAAACAGTAGGATCCTTCTTAGAACAAAGGCCCCTAAGTAAACTTTGGCCCCCAAGCCTTGAACCTTAAAGCCGTAGCTCCAGAAGACTTCAGCCTTTGGCCCCAAAGCCGTAGCATCGCGAAGCCCTAAACCTTAAACCCTAAACCCTAAACCCCCTAAACCCTAAACCCTTGCCAACCCTGGCCTTGCCATCAGAGACTAGGAACCCGAAGAAAGAACTATCTTAAGGTTCTCACGAGGTGACCCCCCACAGATGGGAGTTTAGTATGGCCCTTGGACCTTTCAGCTTCCAGCCAAGGTCTCTGAATTCAGAATGCGAATAGCATGGCTTGCACATCGGTTTTCCCCACTTTACGGGGGGACCCAGGCATTAGCTTACTCCTTTTCAGGCCAAAGGGCTGTCTGAGACTTCACCGGTATCTCGTCTGGGCCCTTCGTAGGAATCGCTTTGCCCGGCGGCCAGTCTCAACAAGACGCGGCCCGACGGCCATAGGTTGACAGTCCGAGGTGCAATGTAGGGGTCTGAATAAGAAGTAGCAATGTTCTGATCCCCTTATTATAATAATGAGCACAGTATGATTGTTCAGGCCCCTATCGTATGTGAAGCTGCACTTTTTGGACGCATCGCACAGCATAACGCTTTGTGCGAGGTGGTTTCCGGCTTTGGCCCTGCTTCAGGACTGGATTGCAGTCGATGTGCCAACGAGCACATACAGATGTGATGCAAGTGGCACAGAGTGGGCAGCCAGGCACAACCCCGATAGGGAAACCCCGAATCTTGAGAAGTAAAGGTCCCGTTCAGGCCGTGGAGTGCACACGTGGTGCATTCGACAGTCGCGGGAGTAGCGCCATTTGCATCCCTAGTCGCAGACACCCACACGTGGTGCCGAAGCCATCGCCATACAGGTCGAAGAAGCCTTCCAACCTTAAACCCCTAAATCCCTTGTCCCTGAACCTTGCCGCCGTGTTCGGCTAACTGTTTCGGGGTCAGGGAAAGTGCGAAGGAACTGGTTAGCAGCAGTAACTTGCGGTCGCGGTTGTTGGGGTGTTCCAATGGTGTTGATGGGGTATTACAGTGGCCTCTAGGATTTGTATGTAGGGGTTTCAAACAGTTCCGGGTCTACAGACCCTGATCAATAACACCCGCCCCCTCCCAAGGGTTACAGAGCTTCACACGGTCAGGACATTAGCAATTAGCAGTCATTAGGCTTTCCAGCCGCCGAACAGTAGCTCGCCCCTCTGGGTGGCAAATGACACCTTCAGCATCCAACATGCCTTTACCCTCAGTGCTAGAGCCTGTGCTGTCCAGCATGATGATCATGTTTGGGTTCAGCGTTAAGGTTTAGGGGCATTTCAGCAAAAGAGCTTTTATGCAGGCGCCGCGGAACGGAACGACAGGAACCCAGTCGGGGTTGCTTCTGTTTTGGGCGTAGGGCTGAGAGCTTCATGTAGAGGGCTGGGGAATTCAGTCTTTGAGAGTATGTTGTATGTAGGACTTTAAGTACAAGAACCGAGGTCGTTGTATTTACCATCCTCCTTATACCGTTTATAATAATACCCGGCTTGATCTCAAGAAGGAGACTTCAATAAGTCTCCGTCGACCCCTGTCACTAAAGCCCAGCGTGGTGCTAGTGGCAGTGCGCGTAATCGTTGTTGCCATCGTGGACAAAATAATGATACTGGCACTAGCACTAGTTTCTTGGTAGCAGTCATGAAAGCAGCAACAGGAGTAGTAGTAGTAGTAGTAGTAGTAGTAGTAGTAGTAGTAGCAGCAGTAGCAGTAGCAGGCCTTGAGATTTACGATGTAATCTTGATAACAGTCCTATTTTGTCCCAGTTAGATTTAGTTCCGCTACCTCAAAACCCTGTTGTAACTAGGGTCCGGGGGCGTAGAGGATCTGTAGGATTTGAGGTACGAGGCTTACGGTCTCCCCCGAACAACGTCCACCCTCGGGGCAAGGTGTCGAAATTAGCTTGCCGACAAGTTAAGAATTCAGGGCTTGGGGCAATTAGTGAATCTTTTGTTTTCCTGCTCCTTTGCTATTGAAGTTTCAACGGGTAAGCCCCGAGCTAGACTCTCATCCTCTAACCCAGGCTGCAAACCC